ACTAAATGATAATAATTGCAAATCGCTGATGGATTTGAACCGGCGACCCTTTGCTGGTAAGCCCTTAAGGGTCGATATAACGAAGCGCAGTCTTTTCAGATAGATTTATTTCGATTGAAATGATATTGTATTGTATGTGCTCAAATATGTTATCTTCCAACATTTACACATAAGCACCTTGTTATACTCAATTTCTCCATGAATAAATATGCGATAAGTTTGAAAAAAAAAAAAGAATTAAACCGTGTACAAACTAGATATAAAAATAACTCATATCATAGAGTGCAACCACAAAAACCGCCATTTCCATTACGTTATGTGGAAATCAAGTGCTCACTTGTGTAGTTGCATCGATTGTTGAACTTGACAACTTTTGCATTAAAAGCTAAAACCTGGCAGCTATCCAAAACTAAACCCGCTAAGAGCTGCACCTGCATGTGGTCACACAGCACACACACACACTTACACATTTATATGCAGAATGTATATGTGGGCGTGGCTGACTGTGGCATTGCGATTGCTGGCGCTGCTGCTGCTGTTGCTGCTGCTGTTTGCATATTGTTATTAATTTTCATTTTGAATGGCATGTTGACAGTCACTTTGACACTGACAGCTTTGCTAAAAAGTATCAGCCAAGTGCCAGAGAGATGGAGAGAGGCAGCAGCAGGAATATATGTTGATCCTGCTGAGAGCTAAAAGCTGCTACGACCACTCGGCGTCAAAAGGTTTATAATTTCAAAACAGCCAACTCTGATGTGGCACGTCAACAATGTGCAGCAGGTGTAAATCTCGCACGCACAGAGATACACACCAACACACACACACACACAGAGTATCTGTCTCTGTGTGTGTTTGTATTTGCAAGTTTGCTAAGCCAAGTTTAACTTTTGGCCAGAATAGAGCAGCAACTGCCGCTTGCTGTTGCACAACTGATAAGCGAATAGTAGAACGGGCTCCAACCACAATTTCAAGTCTGCATCTTTGAATCTGTCAGTTAATGATATTTTTTTATTTAAAACTCTTTGCTGAGGGGGGCCTGCTGGCGAGGGCGCCATTCAGTTTTCTGTTTGGCTTAGCTCAAGTGACGTTTTTCCTTGGCTCGTTGCAGCCCCTTGAGCTTTCGCTTTTTGCTTTCTTAATTACACCACTCGAAAAATGGCTCGAAAGTGCAGCAGTGCCCAACAAAATTGCAGACACGCAAATAACCGCAGCCCCCGAGGTGCTTCGCAATGCTAAAATAACAGTAGAAACAGAAGTGGTAAGCCGAAGGAGCCTAACTTACAGGGAAATGCTGTATAGAAGAAATAGAAAACAAGCACTTATATAAAGAAAAACTTCTAAGTTTTTCAATGAATATAAAAATATATATGAAAATATTCAAGAACTTTATAGGACCTTAAGCATATGGAATTTAATTTGTTGTATACGTTACATACTTGTAGCTACATTCAAGCTACCCAATAAGCATGTATAGGCAACAGCACAGCGCTAGCCTTGGAATTTCGAATGCAGCCTTTCTGCACTCGTGTTGCATGACATAAAACCTTGGATAACTCAGCGTATGCGCAATATTTGGTTTTTACGTATACCATATTTATGTTCCACTTACTTTGCGTGTCGTGTTTAAATAGGGGCGTACTGTGGTCGCTCGGAAATTTGAGCTTACAGAATTTAGATGAAATATTCAAATCGACATTTTCAATGAATTTTTTGCTTTTTTTTTGAGAATTCAATATTGTTAGTATTTCTCTGCTCTTATTTAAATTAAAATATTCAATTACATTTTATTTCAATTTATTGTACCAAAATCTTCAATGCATATAACTAAAATCTAAACCAGATGAAATGCAACTGAATATTATAAATATAATATTATAACTACTAACTTTTCGTGGATATTCCTCATAAACAACCAGCATGTTCTTTCATTTCTGTAGCAACACATTCCACATTTTGTTGAGAAAAAAAAAACCAAAAACAACGAGTTTGTGTGTGTGCTATAAATATAATTCATTGACCATGTTGTGTTTGTTGTTGTCGCTGGTGTCCTTTTTGGGGCAAGGAACTCGGGTGCCATGTCCGTTATTGTTGTTTTTGTTGTTGTTGGCCCGCATTTCGACACCTTTTTCGCACATAAATTTTAATAACACATTCCAGAAACGCAGTGCATGTAAATTGCACCCACACGATACGCTCACATAACCATGTGTATGTATATATGTATGTGTGTTGCTGTGAGTGTGTAAGTATATATTTTGTATGTGCAAAACACACAAAACAATTCCCAAATGTCGCGACACGTAACGCTGAAAAACGCTGCTGCCGCTGCTGCTGCAATTGGCAAACAAGTCAAGGTGGTAAATAGCAAATGGAACACAGAAAAGTTGGTAGGGTATTCGTAGAATCAGGTAGGTTTGAAGGCAGCTGGTAGGAGGTGTATCCAACTGGGACGACCTACATGTCGCTCATTTTGTGTCAACTGCGCAACGTAAATTGCCAAAAGGGCAGCCAAGAACAACAAGGGCAACAACATGATGCAACAACAAAGTCGGGCCCGTTGACAAGTTAAAAAGTTGTGCGGGCATACAAAAAAAAAAAAAAAGCTGAAACAGCAACAGCAGCAGCAGCAGTAGCAACAGCAACAGTCAATAAACTATAAAATATGTAATGTTTGAATATTTTTTCAACGAAAATATTTTATGCATGCAGGTGAATTGATTCAACGAGCTGCCAACGAACCAGCCAAACAGTCAAGCGCTGGCATTCAGTCAGCCAACCAAATGGCAACCAACAGCGTTGCACCCAAAGGAAATTAGCTTGACAGGAAATTCCACACAACATTGCTGCGACGAGGCCGCGAAACCACCAAAGACCACCCAACATACCCAACATACCCAAGCAGCACCATGTGCCCAATGCATCGCCCAAAACTCTGGCTGCCACAATGCACGTTGACATTTTCGCTCATGCCGATTTTCATATTACATTTGGTTGAGCTTAAATGACAAATGTGGTTGGTAAGCCGACGTCTGGGGCCTGCCTCCCACCGCCCGTGGGGACCACCCCTATGCATCCTTGGTCTGCCTCTGGGCTGCTCCTACTGTGCAGATCGTTGCCGGCTTGCACTGAAGTTGAGGCATTTTCGGTTTGCGGTATTATTGCCAAATGACAGCCCAACTGACTGACTGAATGACTGCCTGAATGACTCTATATTTGAGTTCCTGGGTGTGAGTCGTTGTGTGTGTGTGTGCGTGTGTGATTGAGTGTATGCGCCTCTGTCTGGTCGCGTTGGCTTTGTGATTCTGATGGATTGTGTTGGTAGTGGCAGCAATGCGGCGACAACGGCTCTCATGTTGTTGAATGACTCGACTTTTTTGCTCATATGTAGATAAAAGGAAATGTATAAAACAGCAACAAGGGGGAAAAACCGTCGAATGCTCTTGGTTGCTAAGAAACAAATTAAGTTAAGTTAAGTCGAAAAGTTTACAAATAAGAACAATCAACACGAAAATACAAATCAGAAGGTCTTTAAATATCAAAGAGCAGAATATGTATACATCACTTTAAGCTGAGGATCAACAACTCATGACGCTGCGTGGCTTAGTATCTGCTTTGCTTATTTAACTATTCGATGGATCCATCTCACAATCAAGCGAATATTTATTATATTTATGTCACACACTTACTTAGAATATGGCCTGAAGAAATTGTGTATTGTGTCAACGACAGCGCAGTTAAGATCACTCTCAAGAAGTAGTCAAAGGCGAATTCACGATCACAGGTGTTATTGAAAATGATCCCATTAAGAAATGGGCCCAGTTTTGGATGATGTTAAATTCGTTTTCCAAACCCAACCCATTGTGGAGCACCTTAAGTGTGTAATCGTGTGTATAGGCCTTACGTACATATTCAATATTTAAAATAACGATTTGTTGCTGAAGAGTTGTTAGAGTAAACACACAACAGGTACAGTTCACTGTGATAAATCATGCCAAAAAAGAAGAGCTCGTTAACCAGATGCGTGTTCAATTTACGATCTTTCCGTGAATGCAAACACCTCGTCAGAAAGTTTTGTCACAAAAACACATATCCACACGGAAAGCACCAGGATCACATAATCCACCGCATTGTGCACTAGAAATAGACACTTAACCGTCACAACTAACTTGGAGCTGATATGTTGATACTGCATCTCTTCCATTCGGCTATGCAGATTATTGTAGCGCAGCTTGAAAAAATGACTTCCTCGTGCGATGCCATAGAGAAGCCAGGCACTACACTGGAAAAAACGGCGATAGACGAGCAATCTGATGACCTGAGTATTCCCCATGACGGCAATTGAACAAATGAAAGCCGGCCATGATGAGTATCTGGTTAGTTTCTTCGAGTTTTTGTTATCTATGTGCTGGCCATTAGCAGTCGAATTAATCGAAATGACCTAGGCAATTGACATTCTAGTTCCTCCACGCACATGACATTTTGTAGAGGTCAAAATTAATCGACAGAGGAAGTGGCCTGTTTACGAAATCAATATTGAGCGAAACAGAAGTAAACTGCTTCCGAAATAAAGGTATTTTTATATCATTGCGTTCGTATATTGCAAAATATGTATTAGTACCAAAGGTGTCTCGAGAACTGATGATCTTCAAAGATTAATTTATATTAGCATAAGTGTATGACTTAGTCACCATTTAAATGTGATTGGCTGACTATGCTTGTAAAGTTCTAACTTTTTCCCTCTTGACAACACTCAAGACTTATCACACAAACATTGCTAATATAACTAATATAACATTACTAAATTAGACATTCTGAAGAAACGATTAGTCAAGTGTCATTCAATATATTACGATTAAAAAGACTAATTTTGGCATATCTTATCAACATTTAGTTCAAAGGGTTAACCCCCCGTTTCCCCTATGATTTATAAGTCTCGCGCTTATCAGCCAGTGATTCCCTCAAACAACCATCAGAAGCATATATAAACACCAAACCTCTTCGCAATCAACACATCAGTCTTTGATCAGTTACCGGACAGTTAAAACAATGTACTCCCCGACGAAACTTATTGCTTGTACGCTGATTTTTGCCCAGCTACTGGGCACCATTTATTGCGGAGTGTACGATAATACGGATCGCTGGGTCCTCTCCGATAAGACGCAGAATTTCCCCGAAAATGCAGTTCTTGGCGGCATCGATTCATACGGTTATGATAACTACGTGGGACGTGTCGTGTATACAACCTCGATTCTGCCAGCCCGTGTTAGAGCCGAAACTGGATACACTACGTATAACACCGACACACTCGCCAATCAGGCGACCTCCTACGAGTTGCTGGTCGCCAATGAGACCGTTAGCTATCATTGGGTGCGTAGTTACGATGGCTTCAGGGAAAGGAATGCTGTTTCTGTGGGCACAAGCACCCTGAACGATCGCGTTTATGTCTGCCGCGCCAGAACTGATGGCGGTATTTTTATTGGCACCCTGTATCTTGCGCAAAAGATGTGTTTTATCAGGTACGAGAATTTCCCTATGAGACAGATCAGCAAATACGAGGTACTGGTCCGACAAGTTACACCGGCAGCGTGGGCACCATTCAGCAATCAAATTAATTGATAAGATTGCCAGTTTAAATACAAACGAACATTTTTAAATATATTGTTTTATTAATAAACCGAGCTGAATCAGAACACGAAATATGCAGTACTTAATCCCAGGGGCTTATATTTACTATCAAGGCGAGTGTCTATATTACTCAAGATAGCTTTAAATCTCAAAAGTTTGAAGAGACACACTCCAAAGTTTATGTTTAGTTAAAAACTTGATAAATATAGTGTATAGAGTATAAGGGTAAGCGGGAATAGTTTAAATTTTTTGAAGAAAAAAAAGGTATAAATTGTTATACATATATATGGCTGTTTTTCTTCCAGTTCTAAGTAGATTAAAGATAAATATTTTTGGGTTTTCCAAGACTGTATTTTCAAAACTATATATAAGATAACGAGCTCTTTTGAAAAATAATAATTTTCTAGAGTAGATTTCAGTAGACCAGCGATTTCTTTAGAGGGTAGGGTAGACGTTGCTATTAAGCTACCATTCGTTTTGGTGGGAGCACAAAGGCGCCTTTTGGCATCAGAAACAACCCCTGTGCATTTGCACATTACAACAATAACAACAATTACAACGACAAAGAACATTGAGATGCCTATCGAAGCCTATAAATAAATTTACCATAGCCAAGTCAAAAGCAATACACACAAAAAGTAACAAACGCGAAAATATTTGAAAATTAATGCATGCATATACAGGCGTACATATAAATAAATAAACGGAAAAACACGCATACGCAGTGTATGACGACAACGAAAGATAAAGGACTGAGGAAAAGCAATAAAAACCGTCAAGTTGGCAACATTGACGACATCGAGCAGGACGAGTATAACGCTTTACGACTATAGACGATGTCAACAAACAGCGCAAATACTGGCACACAGTTAAGCCTGCACCTGCGGCCTAAAAGTATGCAATAAAAAGACAGCCGCCTTTCGTCGTTGCTATTGCTTTGTCGCCGCTTTGCATTAGTCCTGCGAAAAGGACTTGGCTGCGTTTCTTTTGATGCCCAACATAGCTGGTTTACAGAAGGTATATCGAACTTGGCAAAACCACTGAATAAAATTAGTTTTAACAGTTTTTTACCAGCAGCTACTTTGTGACTTGCAATTGCATTCTCTTCCACAAAGAGTATAGATAAGGCTATGTTTGTTTTGGTTTAAATATAGTTAATTAAAATATTCTCCCGAATCAGCTAATATATGCCTTTAAGTACTTATGTCGCTCATTGTAGGGTATTTAGGTAGTCTATCACAATTTGCGTTTACAATTCTGACTGTGTTTGCAATGCGCTTTTAATTTGACCGCGTCTGGCGGCAACGTTCACGATGACGACGACTTTGGCGTCCTTTCCTTTGCCAGCGCAGCGGCGCAGAAACTTAATTTTCCCACTGTAGCTGTTGTTGATGTTGTTTTCGTTGTTGTTGTTGTTGTTGACTTGCGTTTTTGCATTGCAGTGCAAAGTTTGCTAGTTGCTAAAACTTTAGCCATTTGTTGTTTTTGCAACAATTTCCAGAACGAGGCTATTTGTTGCTTCGCTGGGCCAGACGACGGCAAAATCAACGAAAATGTCGCCCAAAACCAATCATTTCCTTTATTCTCAGACCATCGCCTGCCGACGACATAGACTCCGCTTCCTACCCCTCCACTAGCAACTTCTATACTATCTCTCAGCGGATGTCTTACTAAGAGGGCAACATTTTAATATACTTGTGGATGCCATTGGCTCACTGCCATTTACAGCGTCCCATGCTCTGTGTCACGCAATTTTGTTACTAAAATAAATTTTATTTCGCTCGGTTTTTGGTTTCTCGGCGTCGTTTTTCATTTCATCGAGTGCGCCCCTGTTTATGAACTGTTCGCCCTTAAATTGTCTTTATGCCAGGGGCCAACTGCATGCCACTTAGACGTTGTCCTTTGACCCAGCCTCTGCTCTTGGCTGGCTTACTCTTTCGCCCTCTCATTTTCTTTTCTGCCGTTCATTTTTTTTTGCTTTTTGCTAATATTTTGCGTTTTGGCAAAATGAGCGAACAGAGCGCCGAAATTTTTGCTTAAATTTAGTTTTGTGTTGTCGGGGTAGGGGCTCCTTTGGTCCGTTGACTGCATACTTTGCCGTCGTTTCCTGAGGGAAATTAAAATGTGCTTAGAGAGTAATTTGAGAACATTTGGCTACTGCGTTTTTGTGCCCTGTACAACAGAGGTACACAAAGGGTATTCAAAGCAGCGCACTGCAAAACTAAGGATTTTTGTTTATCATCGTGTTTTTTTTTCTTATCGTATTAATAATATTGAGCGCTCTCTGGTCAACTTCTTCGCGGTAACTTCTAATTTATAAATTATTATAATTTAAATTAATGTAATTAAGTAAAAATAATAATAATAATAAAGAGAACGTATTATATATTATAAAATTAATTATAATATAAAAAAAATGTTAATAATAACAATAATAATAATAATTATTATAGTAATAGTAATAATAATAATAATTATTATTATAGTAATAATTTTAATAATAATAATAATAATTATAATAATTATAATAATAATAATAATAATAATAATAATAATAATAATAATAATAATAATAAAAATAATAATTATAATAATAATAATAATAATAATAATAATAATAATAATAGAATATTATTGTAATATTAATAATACTAATTTTTATTATTGTTATAGTATTTTCGCTTTGTAGTTTTATATTTTAAGTCTCAAATTATACTCGAACTAGCTAGGTAATGATTACAAATCATAAATACCAATACTTTAATTGCTAGTGCAGAATTTACAAATAACTAACTAATATATTGGCATACAATTCATCTAATTCATCTATTCACAAAACAATTATGCGTACATATTTTAATACACATACAGATAACATGTACCTTTTCACTGTTATCATTAGTATTCTCTTAATAAAAATAGTTTCATAGAGTAGTATGCGTCGAAATGTAGTCCATAGCGTAGTCAGCCAATTTAAATAAATGCTTTTTACCTCAATTCAATCGCGAAAGGGTTAAAATCCATAAGATTTTTATACCCTGATCCCATTAAAAATTGGTAAAAAGGGTATTATATATTTATGCAAATGTATTTAACAGTCAGAAGGAAGCATCTCCGACCCCATAAAGTATATATATTCTTGATCAGCATCAATAGCCGAATCGATCTAGCCTTGTCCGTCTGTCTGTTCATCCGTCCGTCCGTCCGTCCGTCCGTATGTATGAAGGCAAGGATATCAGAACCTATAAAAGCTAGACACTGAAATTATAACTGTAGGTGCTCCTAGTGCCCGCGCAGATCGAGTTTGTTTCCGATATTCGATAACTTGCCCCGTTTCCAAGTAATCGATAAAAGTGTTCAGGGTATCTTCTAGTCGGGAGCTCCCGACTAGAACCTCTTACTTGTTTTGCATTATTTTCTGTATGACATCCACCGTTGTCTCTATTTGTGCATGTCAAATAACATTTCAGTGACTTTTGCAATTTTTCGAGGTTTATGTTTTACAAGTGCACACATTGAGCAAACGGCAAAGGGAAATATCAAACGATTGACGTATACACGATTCGCGCTGATTTGTCAGACATATCAATGCTAATGAAGTCCTCGAAGGGAGTCAAGCATGCTCCAAAGTTCGTTGAGCTTATGAGTACTTATCGAAAGTAATCTGAGGAAATTGCATACAATTTTGCGACTTTCTTAAATTTAACACGAAGGTTTATTCAAATTTTGTGAAATGATAAATATCAGCGTGGATTATTCTTTCTTCTTCTTGACATTAGTTAAGTCGCCCTCACCACCCGGTTTCATTTGTGGTTTCTGCTCGTAGCACTCGGGACGACAGCACTTATACCACAAGACGGATACGATGCCCATGAGAAGCCCAAACAATACGCCAATTACACAAATGCCAGCCAAAAACGCTGAATAGTGCACTTCATTTAGCAAATAGGCCAAAAAATCTATTACGGGTTGCGCAACGTAATAGCAAACAATTTCAATAGGATTTAACATCATTTTTTTTCAGTTCTGGTACACATAGAATTAAAGAATGAATAAGTTTAAATCGAAGGCTTTGTGATCTCAAATGTTTTTGATAACATTCCATATGTTTGTTGTTTCTATTCAAAAAATTAACATCAATTTGTAAATTTCTCATTTCAACAAAAGTATTAAAAATTCCTTGAAACAAATTCTCCGTACAATCATGGAGTTTCAAGAGTATTTGCACAAGCAATTGACCATATTCAACTATCATTTACACTCCGATTATGGGCTGCTTATCAAAACAGCAACTTGCATAGCCTTTGGTGCGATCTGTGGCTGGATTATGGGTCTTGTCACTTGGTTGCTATATAAGATAGCCAAATGGCAGAAAGTACTGCCCGTCAATTTCTATCACTATCAGGATGATGATTTGGATTTGGAATTGGAATTGGATACTGATATCGGGTATAACATGCAGATGCATGACAATGACATTGATATATCTATAAGCCCATTATTGGCAAGGCAGCGCCATTGAGAGAACCGCTTGTCATTGATCTATTGAGTGTGTGTGTGTGTGTGTGTGTGGCTGAAGTTTAAGGCTTGTGCAAAACATCAAATGCACTTGCACAGCCTCCAATCGCTCTTAGACTGTCTCGAGTGGCAACAGACTTGAAGTTTAATACAGTAGCAGAAAAATTTGCCGCAATGTCATTAGCAGATTTGTATGCCATCGATGTTGCAACGCTTTAAATTCAATTACTTATACGCCATGCATAACACCCACAGCCACATGAAAGATGCTCGACTCTTGGCATGTGTGTTTGCTTTGAACATGGCCACAGGCTCGAAATATTTAATAAACCATATCTTTTATTTCTTGCCTCCAACACATTTTGTGCTAAATTTTATAAAATTCTTCGTTTTTTTTTTGGTCTGTGTGTTGCCTGCTGTTGATTTTGCACAAATAGCCGGCAGCTATTTTTCCACAAATTCTATATAATTTATATATTGGCTGTCTTTTGCCGTGGCTGCTGTGTAGACACTGAAGGTCATGACTTGATTTGATATTAGCCTTAAAGCTTGCTTTAGTTTTGTTGGCTTTTTTTTGCCAGTGATTGGTTGTTGCCAATGGCACTAAAAAGCTTATTCTTTATGAATTCCAAATTTTAACGCGCATCTCTTTGCAGAAAATTCAAACAAGAAAAGCTCAAGAGAAGAAAACAATATGGCCCATTGGTCTAGAAATAAATGCAATCTCTATTTAAGGAAAGCGAGGCTTAAATGCACGCGGCGTTAAAAGGCTTTTTGTTCAAGCTAAATAGCTAAATTAATTTAATTACTGCATTTGGAATAATCGCCCCAAATAATTAATAATGTATTAAATGACTTCAATCATGAAATTTTTGAATTATTGAGAGTAGTAAAAATATATTTGTTAATGCAATCAACAAATAATTAAAAACGTTTTTGGCAATTTTCGATTTAAAAATTGCTTCGTTTTTTCTGCTTGGAGAAATCTAAACACAAACTTCTTTAAATTGCCTTCTTTTCCATAAAACAAAAGGAAAAAAGTAGAGTTCACTTTTCATTCATTGTTCTAGCCCCAGTTATTAGCCTACTTTGAACATTTTGGCAACGTCGCATGTTCCATTGTTATTTAAAGACCATTGTCTATGCAAGTACTTGAGAAATACTTACAACATTTCAGAAACAGACTCAGCAGGAGCACAGTAAAGACTTAGGAGAGCTGCGACTACCACAACCCCAATTTTTGAAGGCGAGTTATAATTGCAAAAATGTTACAATGCAGTGGGAGGGGCAGCCATATTGCGGTAAGAATGAAAGAGAATCTAAAACTGAATAAATGCCATGACAAAGGGGTGGGTTGGCTCTGGAGCATTTAATCACCAAACCAACCCCACAGACAACCGCGTAATTCATTCAGTGGGTGCCGTTGAATTCAGAGCTTAAGCCTCCTGCGTTTTCCATTCCCCTCTTGAAGGGGGTTGCTGGCAATCCAAATGCGCTTAGGGTGTCATAACTGCAATCGCGTCGCGCCGTCGTCCACGGGACACAAAGCAGCTGTCAGCGGGGCACATTTACAAAATGCAACTCCCGAAAAACTTGCCATGCGCTTTCCCAGATGCTGCATAAACGGGGCCGGGCGAATGGAAATACGACTTAATTGATACATAAATAACAAGTTACACTTTAAGAAAGGGAATTGCTCGACTATAGACATAAACCGTTTTTGGTTAAGGCACAAAGGATCAAAATATAAAAGATATCGACATATAGGGAGTGCTACATATAGGGAGTATTTAATACTTTGCATTTGGGAGTAGCATTTAAGGAATTTAAAATCAATATTTAATATATTGAATTTGATTTAAGATATATTATTGGAAAATGTTTTTCAATTATTGATTGAGAAATATCTATCAGGGATGCACTTTTACTATAATTTATTAAAAGTATTTCAAGATTTAATAAAGCGCACGCCCACTCTCGAGTATTTTCTTGCTAAGCTATCTATGAAAAACCTTATACACCTCTTTTGAAATATTTTACAAGGTATTTAAGTGCCAAGCCGCGGCCAGACAGCCAAAACAGTCTAAGCCTTCGCCGGGATGAAGTGTGCAGGTTGTGCACGATTCATTAAGGTTTTTTATTTCATTGAAACATGAGCATTTTTCATATATGAATACGAGTGCGCCGTCATAGAAAAAGAATATATTTTATATATATATTTACGATTTTTCCGTGCCGTGCGTAATGAGGCAGACGGCTTAGACGGGATGGGATTGCATGGGTTCGAGTGGGTTGCTGTTGTTGTTGTTGTTGTCTAGGCAACGGCTCAGTGTACTTTATTTTGTATACGCAGCAGCAACGCGGCAACGTCAGAGTTGCATTTTCCGGCATTCACATTTCCATTGGGAAAAAATAGCACTGCCAAGTATTTTACACGGCTGGGAAGCTCGTCTCTGCCCGCCCGTTTGTGAACTCAGCCTCTCGTTTTGGTGCATTGAACCTTCCCTCACTTATATTTGTCTGTGTATGCGGTTCACTTGCTATGAGATTTTCGTTTTTGGGAAATACTTTAGAGGCAAACTGTGTGTGTAATTTGAGGCATTTTCGCTTTGTCGAAGGCAAACAAAATTGTTTAGTCAAAAAAACGAACGCAAAGGCTTTTGAGAGAGCAAACAAGATGAAGGAGCGAAATATCTGACAGGCTTTAAAATTTATCAGATAAAGAACAATTGAATATCATAGAATATCGTACGATATATATTTTTAAGATAAATAACGAATACAAATTTTTACTTCTCAATGCCAATTAAAACTTTCGATGTAATATAATTGATGCACTTACCACAGTTATAATGTTGCATTTGCTCTTGTCTATCTCCGTGTAAGCCTCTTTAGAAAATGTTCTCAATTGATCTGTATAACTTTATTTCCCACGCTGTTGTTAATTTTGGTTATTGTCTGAGTTGTTTTATATGCCTCGCCTTTCGTTCTCGAAATATGCTAAGTAATATGTATTATTATTGCTGAGGCTTGAACTCATCTCTTCCACACAATATTGATTTTTTTCTTTCTTGCACCAGAGAATAATTGTGCGCCAATTGCCTAGGTCATTTCGATTAATTCGCCCGTTAATGGTCAACACATAAATAACAAAAACTCGAACAAACCAGCCTGATACACATCATGACCGGCTTTCATTTGTTCAATTGCCGTCATGTGGAATAGCCAGGACATCAGGTTGCTGCGTGGCGGGCTTGCTCAGGCAGTCTATCGCCGTTTTTTCCAGTGTAGTGCCTGGCTGCTCTATGGCATCGCACGGGGATGTCATTTTTTCAAGCTGCGCTACAATAAACAACATAAGCGAATGGAGGAGATGCAGTATCATCGTATCATCTCCAAGTTAGTTGTGACGGTTAAGTGTTTGGTTTTTCTTCGCGATGCGGTGGATTATATGGTACTTGGGTTCGTCGTTTGGATACATTTATTTAAAGTGGAAGACAGCGGGGGACAGAACTTTTTGATCGGCATAGTCATGCAAGGCCTAACCATGTATGTACTGCGTCGTGTAACGATCTTTTTACATTCGCAGGAAGATCGCAAATTGATAATGCATGTGGTCAACGAGATCTTCTTCATAACACGCACCATTGAGAGCAAGTTTGGTATGATTTATCACTGTGAGCTGTGCCTGTTGTGTGTTTACTTTTTCAAGCAGTATTTGTTGTACGTTATGCTGGACTCTATGTGGCACAAGCCCTACTTTCTCTGGATAAACTTTTTCTATTGGGTACTAATGGAGTATTGTAGCCTTGGCTATTTCATCTATCAGTTGATTTTGCTCAATTGGTATCGCAACTTTAGCTTCTTCTTGCAACGCTTCATCGAATATCATGGGAGTCAAAGTTTTATATCTGGTCGTTACCATCGCCGTCTGTTGTGTCTTTTCAAAATACATTTACGTATCAACAATTTGCATCAACATATCAAAAAGAAGGTCGCCTGGCTGCCCTCGGCCATCTACTTAGCAATTTTTACGAGCATTTTTAACATGACGTTGATGATTGAGTGCATAGTCTATGCTGCGGATGAAATTGAGAACAAAGTGTATATCATGTCGGATGGCTGCCTAGGCCCGGCTGTAATACCAATGCTCAACGTATTTATTATTGGCTTGTGCACTGATCGATTACGCAGCGAAGAGCTGACTCTACAGCAACAGATTGTACTCATAAATATTTTATATGTCCGTAAGGCCTTCCCACACGATCATACACTCAAGGTGCTCAACAACGAGGTGAGTTGGGGCATTCAATTGACTCTGATGAGTGTCATCTTTTCGATTGCTTACAGCACACTTCTTTGATTGTGCATCAAAAATTGGAGCCGTTGCTTAATGTGATCATTTTGGATACCACCTGTGATCGTGAATTTGCCTTTGACTACTTCTTGACAGTGATTGTAACTGCGCTGTCCTTTGTACAATACACAGTTTCAACAGGTCGCATTCTTGATGAGTGTGTGACCCACAAGTAGGCGATTCTCATAAAGTGGATGTATTAATAAAATCTGAAAGAAAGTAAATTGTTGTACATAAAATTGTGTGTGCTTTTGTTCTATACTTATATATATAAAGAAAACGTGGCATGTGCTCTCAAAATTAAATTAGTTAACATTGAATGAAAAATATTGTCTTAAGAACTAAAGCTTATTTTAATATAATAAAATTAATGAATAATCAAGAATAATTTAAGAAATTAAATATAAGTTCTCACGTACTCATTTTTTCACTTCTCTATTTGATAAGCTCGTTTCATACAGCTTATCAAAAACTTAGTGAGCGGCAAAAGAATTTATAAATTTTCACTCTATAACAGCAACAGTTCAAACATTCAACAGTCACGTACCAATTCGACACACAATGTTTTCCAAAAGTAAAAAAAGACTATGCAAAACATTCAGTTTTTGATACATTTTGCTGGTACATTTAAATTTATTTTTACACCCTCCAGCGAATGTGTGCTGTTCACACACAGACACACACACACACACCCTCAGCACACCCGCCAGACGATAAAATAATAATCGATTTGACTTTGGTTTGAGTATTATTTTTTTTTTTTTTTTGCCCTCTTTCGGTTAAAAAGCCCACAACTCATCTGAGCCGCCGCACAAAATGTAAAAAATGGAGCTCTGGCACTTCCTGCTGGGAATCGATTTTTGTACATTTCCCCAAACTGCGATGCTACCAAAATTTATGCGAATTTGAATTTGATATGGTTAAACTGTTTGCCTAGGCAACGTCAGCCATGCAAATGGTTTGATAAGAGCAGCATGAGGTGGGCAATGGGGCCGGCTGTGCTGAGGGGCGTGTTGTAGGCTGTCATTGTGCCTAGCTTTGTCGCTTTTTAGTGTAAAATTAATTTGCTATAATTCATCAATGGACCCAGGCAAAGGATTATTTTGCATAAAAAATTGTGGCACTTGTCGATTTTGCATAGTCTGCTATTTGGGCATGGCAGCAGCAGCTGTTAGGCAAGAACTTGGGCCCGATATGAAGCTAAAGAGTATGAGGAGAAGGTGGCCCAATGCCATTCGGTGTGTGTAACTGACGCACTTTGTGTAATTTATGGCTGCACATTTATTTTATTGAGTTTAATGTGGGCGCAGTTGTTGCCAGCGCCTTTCGAAGGTGAAAGGTTGGGTCCACGGGGATAAGAGCTGCGCCGGCAGCTTGAAGGATGGGAACTGGTGGCCCATTGGCGCTTTGTTATGCCTGACTGAGCGCAGTGGCAAATGTATTACGTTTGAGCAGGGATGAATGGTATTCGAAGATGCCACAAACACGGTTCATAAAATGAATCAGCGCTTCACAGACATTGGAATATTAAATTCCAATAAATATTGAGTGCCTAAAATATTAAAACTTGTTTGTAATGAGAACGTACAACTCAACAGAAGAAGAATCTGTGCTGAATATAATCAATCAATCGAGTCTCTATATTAATGGTTTATTTTAAAATCAATTAAGACTTTCATAATTAAATTTTAAGAAATAATATAAATTATCGTCTATTTTTTGGATATCTTAGAGGGAAAGCAATAAGAATTTGAAATCTAGGCGCAGAATTTCAGAAATTTTCATGGCATATGCCATAAGGTATTTTACTTCATTGCCTACAAATAATATACCTAAGGCTGAGCATTAAATTGTATAATGCCAATTAAATGAAATATGTTTTGTGTAAGCCGATTTCTATGACAAACAGGCAAACAAATTAAATCGTTTGGCCCAGAAACTTTACAAAACTCGAAACATAGACACAAACACCGCTGCTTGCTCTTTGTGTATGTGTGTGTGTTTGTCTGTGATGTTGCCCAACAACTAATTAAGTATTCAAAAACGTTTTGGCATAAAGTTTAAATTGTCTGTGGACATGGGCCTGATGGCCGTACACTTTGTGTACGACTAGCTACGAAAATCCAATAATAAAGCCAAAGCTGCCGTCGACGACGGCGACGCTTGACGCTCATAAATTATAGCAAATTATTAAGCAAGGAGTCAAAAAAGTTTGCACCGCACGCGCCAAAACGAAACTTGCAAGTACATTGCGTATACGTAATGCTGGACCATGTCGCCTTGTGCTGCGGCGAATGATTTATTTTTATTATTATTGGCGGTGAATTTTAAATCAAAAAGCGCACAAATGCTGTTGCCCAAATTGCGAGGGAGTCGCCCCCAACAAAAACCAAAAGGACAAAAAGAGCAAGGGAAAAAATGTATGCTACAGTTTTGTGAGTTGCCTTCGGTGGCAGCTGCTTTTGTCATTATTAATAACTGTTAATTATTCACCATTATAACTATGCTTGAGAGCACGTTCTTGTTTGTCGTCTGCCCCAGTCACACACCTACCACCCCTCCATCACCGACTATTACCATTCAGAATTCTCTATGTACTTTGGCGCTCAAGTAAATTCTCTTTTCATATTGTTTGGCATCATATTTTATGTGCTTCTTAGTTAACGCCTGTTCGTCTCGCCTCATTTTCTCCCGCTATTTCGCTCTCTCCCTCTCTTTGTCTCTCTTCTTGGCCCTGTCTGTCTCTCTATTGGCCATATTTACATATTATTAAAAAGTTTTTCAAGCTCAGACGACAACAACGACGACCAGGAAACTTTTCTATTTTGCCTTGGCTAAAAGTTATTGAAAATTCATGAATAATTGACATTTATTGCAGTTGGCACAAGTGATGGTCGATAATGGACGACCGAACGCCCACTCTAAAGTAGGCGTGCCATCTGAGATTTTCTCAGTGCGTGCGCTTGTATGTGTATGTCTGTGTGTGTGTGTGTGTGTGTCCGTTGCCCATTTATAGACATAAATATTAAAGTAGCTTACGTACTTAATTGTAAATTATGTATTCAATTAGTTATGCCAGGCTGCCCAAACTGAAAATATGGTCCACATTGATAGACGAAGGCTGCAGTGAGACGAAGCGAATGCACTGAAAGAGATAGCTAGCTATAGAATATTCAATCAAATTTGTGGGCCTAAATTACAGTTCATATGCAAAGTTTGCAACCGGTTATTGTTTGCGATGTTCTTAATAATTTCTGCCAGCATATATTTATATTTAGTATTATTTTCGATTAGACCAATCGACTACCTAATTATAATTCCCTAAATAAACATACTACGCCTTAGACTAATTTTCGCACATTATGAAATAGTTTCAGAAATACCAGATAACCCCATAACATTTAGTCAAACTGTTGCTACTATGTAAAATACATTTTAAATTATATTATTATGTTTTACAAATACATTCTTTCTTGAATGCTGCAAAGGTAAATGAAATCAAGGATTACAGTCAAATATATATAAAGAAATAAATCGTAGTTTGACCTGATTTTTCGAATGTTATTTAGACATTATTAATTGACAATTTATTATGAAAACATTTACAACAAAATTTTATTGTATTTGAAATTTGATATCAATAATAGGTAAAATGCAAATTATTAAATGAAATAAATATTGCTCGTTTAAAAAAAAGGCAACAAATATAATTACAGCATTAAATTTATTCAACAAATGGCCAAACGACAAAAATTATTTTATTTTTTTTTTTTTACTTAGCTTTGTTTTAATTTTCCTGTTATTATAAGAACAAATTAAATTAAATTTATTAGAAAATTTACAATACTACTTAGTCTACTATTAAGTCTAATATAAAATTAAAAAGGTTACGGTGACTATATATATCGATCTGGGAGATCGATTGGATGAGACCTCCGCAATCTCCTCCGCGTTCGGACTCCTCCAATTCGATGCCTCTTTAGAAGGCGCCTAGCCAGTCGATTTGGATGGTTTCCCAGACGCGTTATGTAGATTGCAGTCTGTTTGTTTATGACGTCCCCGACCTTGGGCACTCCTAGGTCTTTTTCCAAATCGGAAGTTCGCATATACCAGGGGGCACCAGACAGATAACGGAGCGTTTTTGCTTGAAACACCCTGATTTTCGTAAGGCGCGATTTTGCAGCAATACCGTAAACTTGAATACCATATCGCCAGGCAGGAGCTAGGCAGGTTTTGTATATGTTTACTTTGTTTTTTAAAGATAGCGCATTTCTACTGTTGAGCAGCCATCTGAATTTGCCTAATCTGCTTTTCAGGGCTCCTGTGATACTTGAGATGTGTTTACTAAAGGTTAAACGCCTGTCTAAGTGCACCCCTAAGTATTTGTAGCTGTTGTGGTGCGTCAATAATTGATCGGGCAGGAAGACTCCAGGACATATTTTTATTTTATTTTATTTTCCCATTAGCAATAAAAACGCAAAACTAAAGATTATTTCTTAAACAATCAGATTTTTGTTTCTCTGCAATCAAAATGCCAAATATGTCAAGTTCGCAAACAAACAATTATATAAACTGTTCGGCAAATAGTTAAAATAAGTCAAGATATCAGCCAAGCCAAAAATCAATTTGATGCGAATATTTAAAGAACTGTTTGAGGCTAGAGTTTCGCATTGCAGTTGATGGCATTGCAGTTTTTGATTAAATGTGGCCCGCAGCTAGTTTACAGAATAACCGAGATATGACTAAAGCCTCCCACTCTGCAGTGCTTCACATTATGAAAATGTGGCAGACTTTCCTGGGCCACGTCCCGCCCTCTTTGCCCGTGAGTTGACTGCCTAAATATATTTTGCCATAAAATAACACCAGAGGGCGCTGTCAGTAGCATACGCTCAGCATATCCGTTTTTGTTTTAGTTACAACTAACTGCATATGGATATACTATTCGAGTGTGCGTGTGTGTGTGTGTGTTGCTGGTATGCATATGGTATGGCATACGTATATATACATATATATATCAAAACATTTATGTAGGAGTATGTAAACCGCATATGCTGACGGTTTTGAGAGCCGGCGCTACGCATTTCCAGGCATTTGCATTCAAATGCATTTAATTAAATCAACTAGAACCAACAGGAAAATGCAGCAGCATCAGCAACGAGCTCAGCTCAACCCAACATATGACCTTTTCTCACACACACACATACTCAGA